AAGAAAGTAGAAATCATGGAATGGTTCAGACGAAGAATAAATTGAGATCTGGATGGGATGGGATCAAGGCCGTCCCATGATATTTGGAGGCCCGGTTCAAAAAATTTAAATGTGGCCCTAATTTTTTTCCCCATAAAGTTATCAAAATTAAAAATTAGTAAATAATTGTAAAAAAATACTAAAGTTCAGAAAAAGATTACATCCAGAATAAACAATCTCGTTTCGAGTTTGACCAAGAAACCAAGACCGAATTCCCAGCCCTAGTAGGGAGGAAAGTAGATCTGGAAGGAAGAGAAAATGGATATAGCGCAAAAATTGAATGCAGAAATGAAAATAGTCTAAATTGATCGAGAGGTGGGTGCAGGGTTGTCTACTAGACGTGGTCCAAATCGACCTTTAACTATAATAAAACTACAATGATTTTAATAACATTATTCAAAATGTAATATCTTTCTATATTGTTTAAATTAAAATTATCTATTATTTTTCAGATTTTCATATTCTCCATGAGATCCTTTTCAATTGTTATTATAGCTAAAATTATCTATTAAACACATCATCATACTCATAATCAATCAATCATACACTAAAAATACAACCTACAATATATGATCGTTAACTAACGAATCTAAGTAGAGGCCCCTAATATTCTGAGGCCCTGTGCCGGAGGGCGGGCCAGCACACCCTCTTGGTCGGACCTGGATGGGATGCGAATGCGACGAGACAGAGAAAGTTAGATTTTTTATTTTAATTTAATTTATTACTTTTACCCTTTTATCCTTAATGAATCTTGTTGTTATCTTGTGTTGTTATAGTATCCGCTCGCTTTCTGTAGCAAGAGTAACATTTTCCTCCTTTGCTTTCTTCACTTTATTGCTCTGTTCAGCATAGGAGGAGGAGCTCGCGATGATTCATTGACCCCCTGCCAATACTGTTTATTTTTACCCTTTGGCCAGATGAATTCACAGACTCTTTCCCCTTTCTCTCTCCTTTTTCTCCGTCTTCTTTCTAGCGCCCCCTTTTCAGACGAGAGTAGGGGCTGCTGCCGGCGTCCTTCCGGCGGCAGCCCTCCGCCCCTTTTTTCTTTCGTTTTTCTTTATGCTTTGCCTGTTTTCTTCTCTTTTCGTTCACGCTTTTGCGATTTCCAGCCAATTCGAGACTCTGTTTTCGCCCGTTGGTGGGTCTCTTTTCCTCCCCCCTCTGGTGGGTTGTGTTGTTTTGTCCTTCGATCTGGAGATGGTGGCCTGATCTAAGATGCAATGGAGGCCAGATCTAAACCTGATCTGGCTTGTCTTCTCCTTTTCTCTCCCATGTCTACCTCCTTGTCTTTCCTTGCAGATCTTGGTGAGTCGGAGATGTAGCCATTGGCGTCGGACTCGGAGGGGAAAGTTTGAAGACAGAAGTACCTTTCCCTCTGGTTCTCTCGTCGTCGACCGGTCGGATGATGTTGCCCCGCGTTCAATCGGCGGGAGGCTGAAGGCTACTGGCTCGTGGTGGGTTGGTGGGAGGTTCTCTTCCTCAGTCCTCCTTCCGAGGTCGGCGAGAATCGATCCCCTGTTTTTGGTGCTTGGCTGCGGTGGCGACGTCGGTTGGGTGGCTAAACGGCGATGGTGGTTTTCGACTGCGGCGGCGGCGGTTCCAGAGGGGTGGGGATGTGCGGCTAGGGTTTGGGAATCTTGACATGTTTTGGTCTGGGTCCGGGCCCTATTGGGTTCTGGGCCGCATGTTTGGCCTCTTTGTTGTGGATTTTCATGCCTGGTCACTATTTCTACTTGTATTTCTCCATTTGGGCTTGGCCCAGTCGTATTCAAAACAAAAAAAGGCCAGATGAACTTGGATAATAGGCAGCAGATAGGTCTTCAAGCAATCAATGGACAAGGTGATTTTTCCATTTTTCGTCCATTTGTGATGACTAATAGCTTATCTATATATGTGCGATGATATTTCTCAATTTCCTGGTATGAACCGACTAGGAGGGTATGGATTGAATGTGAGATTCATGTGAAGTTGGGCATAGATAATAATGCTTTGTAGATATGACCTACCTTTCTCATATCAATCATTCTTCCTTTCGAATCGTAATGTGAATCTTGAAATGAGATATCATATTTGTTTTTTTGTTTATATTATCGACTTAGAAGACAAATATTTGAATTTGCTAATTTGAGATTTGTTGTGAAGGGTGGGGATAGTATAATTTGATAGTCAGTTTGATTAACTACAGCAAGATGACTTTGGATTTCCCAATGTGATTGCCACTTTGGAAAGACTAGAATTTTAGCTAGGGTTAATCATAGTACATTAATAATTACCAACAATTAATTGTCAACGTTTTTGGGTCAATTGTTCACAATCTAACGTAATGTTGTCAACATTAATGTTACATATTAGGGCTAATTCCATTTGGAAGCCCAAACTATTCCAAAAGTGTCAATTGTTCACAATCTAATTGGTTAGGTGTTTTAATCGTTCATTTTTCCTATTAATTATTAGTATTATTTATATACTAATAATATTTTCATTATATCCTATTTACCCTTAAAACTCTGTTAACTACTAATCTCATTAACTACCTGGATTCCTACTAGCCAATATGAATTTGCATAGGATATGACTTGACAATTAAATAAGGTAGAGTTGATGTGGATTCTCTGATGAAGATTTTAAAATATCCAAGAAAAGAAAGAATGTCTTTCCCTGGTCCAACGGCGCCGGTTCTCAGCAACAGCATTTGGGTTAAGATTTGTTTGACCGCTGAAATTTAGGTGATGAATCCTGATTGACCTTTCCTCCGCAAGGAATTTGACCCGGAAAAGGAGGGGGAAAAGAAAGAGGGAAATTGATCCTGCATGGTGGACTTTTGGCTCATCACATGGACTTCCACCAGTGGGCTTGCAAGAGAGCATTACAATAATAATACGTAATACGCAATCCGTGACCGCCCAGGCCCAAAATTAATATTAGTTATTGGACTTTGTGTGTTAAAGTTGAAACATGAAGGAGAAAGTCTGGTGATAGCCTAGGTATAGGCGTTGAGGACTTGAGCCAGGTGTGGTGGCTTTGATCTTTAATTATGAAATCTGCTTTTGCTTTTTGTTATAAAACCTGTGGTGGTTTGAAATGGTTCTACGAGAGAGGTAGACTAGACACCAAGTTTTGTTAAAATCGACTTCATATATGCACGATTCTAAGTTGTGTCAAATTTCTAAAGCTCAATTTGATACAAGCAAAATATTGTTTGATTACAAATGTCGTATCAAGTGGAATAATGGATCCGAGAAATGAGGTAGCGAGAGACGCTCAGGGTCTACTAAGGAGAGGGGCACGAAGGATCAAGAGAGCTAGGGCCTTGGTAGGTTGAGGTTGTGAATGTGGGGGGACTTACATGTCCTGGCTAGTGGCTAGGCTCGAAGAGGAATTAGTAAAAATGTGTCACTTTAATCGATAATTATATTTTTTTTCATTTTTAATTTGGACTCTAAAATTTCAATTACCAAATGATTTATTTTTTAAATTTCTTAATGAGAATGTTGTGTCGTCTAGTAGAGTCTAGAAGAAGGTGATTCACACAGACGACTAACTCATTTTCAATAGAGGAAAGGAATTCTGAAATCTATCCAACAGTGTGGTCAATCTTAGAGATCTTTTTGGCTGACAAATTGGAGACGGCTCGATCAGGATCCTGAACTTAGTAGCTTTAATAATTTCGAGTTTAGAATATATAAGAAAAAGAACAATCTTGAGATAGGATCCGTATATTTAGACAATAATTTGAAACTATCGTAATCTAAAACATGATATAATTGATTTATCTATATTCCTGCAAATTAACCTAATAATCAAAACTCCCAACACTAAATCAAGTCCATCTTTAAAACGTTTTGATCCACGTCTCCAACATGATACATGTAAAATAGAAACCCACATCAAAAGATAGCCTCACATTTTCCATTTGTATGGGAAAAGCCATTTTCATCTATGCAAAACACATCTCATGAATGTCAAGAACTAGTTGGTCCCAATAACTCGAGTTGTTGGGAGAGGTTCAATCGTGGATCATATACCACAACACTAACACGCCCCCTCAAACGAAAGCCGACTCATGGGCTTGAAGTTTGCACAGGCCCGCCATACCATGTGCTTGAAGACAACGGTTAATATTGGGGGTCGTGGAGATTCGAACACACGACCACTTGGCCAAACCAGCTCTGATACCATGTCAAGAACGAGTTGGTCCCAATAACTCGAGTTGTTGGGAGAGGTTCAATCGTGAATCATATACCACAACACTAACAATAAATACCCACCAGATCAAAGTCGGTCGGCACTCCCATTCCTGAATCTCCCCTCCATCAATCTCACCATTATCTTCTTCCTATCCCGTCGCGATTACGAACACGTCTCGTTAACTACTCACAAATTCAACAACGATTATTTAATTATAGATCGACATGAATACAGGACGAATCGCGATATCATACCAAAAAGAAAACACGATGTTCGTGTTTCGTATAAAGGATACAAATGTTTGAGTTATGTAGCTGAGGCGATGCCAGTGGGAAAACAACGCACGAAAAAGAATGGAATTTGACTTTCTCCTAAGTCGTATCGTAAAATTTAGAAAAAGTCATTTGCCGGCACCCAACACAGGTACGTACAAGCAGAGAACAAGCAAAAAGGAGGAAGGGAAAATAAGGCAAAAACAAAACAGTCCTCTCCAAACCCGTTGACATTTTTTTATTTTACAATCACCAAAACAAGAAATAATCAACCAATATAATACGATTGTTTATTTGTTTATTCATTTAATTTTCGCTTTCATTTTCCCACGACAGCTTAAACTGCGAAAACCCGTTAAAAAGCTGTGCTACAAGTCGTTAGCGTGTGCTTCACTACTCCAACTTCCTCTTCTTCTTCTTCTTCATCCATAATTTGCCTTGTTAGCTCTGTAGCTCCCTCCCCCAATTTCCTCGCCTTTTCCCCCGCCAGCTTTTCTGCATCCCTCACATATTTAACCCTTCTTCCCCTTCTTCATTTCATATTTTCATTCCCCCTCCATCTCTCTCAACAGCTTCAAAGCTCTTCCCTTTTCTTAGAACCCATGTCATCATCAATGGCGGCTGCCTCTACTTCTTCTTCGTGTTCATCGAGATACAAGCTCAGGTGCCCTGTTTACGTGGTGGCGGCGGCGATTACTCTGTTTCTGCTGGTGTCTTCTTCCTCTGCCACCAGGCCTGGGGCCGTTATGATAATGAGAGATGGGGCCGCCGGCGGCCGGAAGGTTTACCTGACTGCGTTTCAGTACGAGGGGCAGGCGGCGGTGTTCAACTTCTTGCCGAAAGGAGTCCCGATCCCGCCGTCTGGTCCTTCCAAGAGGCACAACTCCATCCAGAACTGAAGGATATTGAAGCAGGGGATTTGATTCCCTCTGTTTTCTTTCTTTATTTGTTTATTGGTTTCGTTTTGTGTTGATTGGGATTGCTGTAATAGAGGATTTTGCCTATAGCTAGCTTGTTTTTATTCTTGGATTGGTTTGTAGATCAAGAACCATAATAGTTAAGTAGTCGCTGGTTCTTGATTGTTCTGGGATTTTCTGTTCTTTGATTATTTGTTTGTTTGTACAGATTTGAATGTGTAGTATAGTATAGGGAGGATTATTATTTGATTTTAGTTTGTACACACTTAATGTAACTATATATACAGAAATGGTGAAGGAAAAAAGCTTGATTCACCTGTCTAAGTGGCTCTGGTATGTCAATTGTTGTATTGTGAAGATTGGTGTTGAGTACTCTGTTTCTCTGTAGTTTTTTTCATTTGGGAATGTGAACGCCTACCCATAAGTTCAAGGTTTGTTCAAACCCTAGTGTATTGGCAAACTCATGAGAGCGGCACGATTCGAACTTACAATTTTGCTTAAAATGAGAATATTATGTAAACGTTCATATCTTAACACCTAACAAGTCAATATTTTATAACTAATTGGTATAGCTTTATCACAATATTATTAAGATCGAATGATAGTTTTTATAAGAGAGCGGTATATAATGCATAATCCACCTTCTCACAACAACTCGAGTTATTGAGATCAAATACTTTATCATATGATATAAGAACTAATTTGGTCAAGTAATTGTTTGTTGCTTAATCTATCTTCTGGCAACAATATTATAAAAAACAATTGTATACGATTATTTTGTTATCATGCCTCTCTAACAACCATTGAACTCACCGATTTGACCTTGGCTACATGTTTCACAATCCGTGGTAATTTGGTTGAAAAAATGGAAATGGGAAGAGGAAGACCTAGATCTACTTGGGGTTTGCTGGAAGGGATGGCTGGGCTGGCAGATGGAGAAGTCCAAAGACGTTTCCCTTGCAAAAGTCATTCAACGTGTTTGGTTTTTCCATTTCCCGACTTGGACTCCTTCTGAAATTCCCTCTCTCCGCATTAAATGAGAGAAATAACTGCAACGCCTTCCTTACTTGTTTGTCACGCAATTAAATTTACACTATTTGGGTTTCACAGACAGCCATTATTCATCTCTTTTCTTGTCCTCCAAGGAAGGATAAATGTAAATCTCCTGATCGATGGATGTACAATGTGCAAAAATCTGTTACTTACAAGTTGACGTTCCAAGATTTTACAGGTAGGTGTCTCTTTCTTTTGTGGCTTTTTATCACTCTCTCCTATACCCTACCCCTTTTTGTAAAGCTTTTTTTTTTCATTTATGAACATCACTTGTCACGAGCAAAAGTTGATGTTGGACATATAAGTCACAATTCACACAAGTAGCCTCACTAATCTTCAAGCTATCAGAAAAAATTTTAATCAACATACCTAAGTATTGGTTATGGTTGTTCAGTTTTTCATAGGATGTGACAAGAAAGAAATTTGGATTGTTGTAAATATGGAGTGTTGTAAAAAAAAAAACTTCTAATGAAATTTAGATCATTTTTCACTGTTACAATTGGTCATTCTAACGACTAAATAGAATTATGTTCATGAGTCACGACATTCTTATAATTAATGTAAACTAAATCAACACAAATACTCCACCAATGGTTAGATTTATTTAAAAATGCTATGTTGGCAAACTGACGATGATGAAATAAATACATGCATTCCCATAAAGGTAGGGTTTTGAATTTTAACCAGTGCTGAAGTACCTCTCTCATCAAAGAAGGTATGTCTTGTTTTAGATACATAAGGCGGTTACTTGGCAACAGTATCAATCCAAGCTCAATTGAACTCTCTGCAAGATTTGCTACCTATCAAGACCAAACATATCCTCTGACTCAGTACCCTAACTCAAGCAAAGCCTTACCTGAACGTGAAGAGCATACCACGAAATTTATTGTTCGAGGTAGAGGATTGTCCAACAAAATAGTTAGTGTTAAGTCGATCGAAATTAATGACTTGTAAGTTGATTTGGGTTACTACAGTATAGCCTCTTCCTTACACAATCATAAGTAGATAGATCATTTAGCACAAGCAAGAGAATTTATACAAAGTAAATAATATAGAGCATTTTTTAAATTTGCTTAATATTATTTAACTAGAGAGCACGACTAGACAAATAGACTTGCAAAAAACCAAAGTGAGAGATTGAAAGATTTGTCATTGTCAAATGATGAGCTATATTAATCAAGTATGAAATCAAATGATGGATTCAGAGATTCGCGAATTTGTCGAATTTTGAATATTTGGACAAGAGATATATGTATGTTGCATGTGCGTAATCGGCAGGTTAAGCAGTCGTGCGCGCCTTGTTGAGAATGTTAGACATAATATATAGTGGATTGGGATTGGAATCAATGGTGGCTGGCTGGGTAGGGTTGTTGGACAAGAAACAGTGAGCACCAAAATAACAACATAATTCCACAATAGTTGTAGTAAAAGGCATCTTCCTTAACATCTGAAACAGAGCAAGAAACAGTAAACACCAACAATATTCTGTGGGTGTTGCTTAGTTAACAATTTTAATTACATAGAAATTAAGTGCTTAAAGACTCAATTAAATTCAGAGCAAAACTTCAATCTCTTGGTCGCATAGAAAGCAGGAATCTTCGTGAGTACTGAATCACTCGACGGCTTCCATTCCCACCGGCGGTGGTAGTAGCAGAAGCTTCCTCCACAATCCTCTGCCTCTTACTCGAACGCTCCTCCTCCTCCTCGCAACGGCGGCCGTTGTAACGCCGTTCGTCGTAATTGAAACTCCTCTTGCTGCCGCCGTAACGCCGTTGGTTGCAGTCCAAGGTCCTCCTGCGGTGGTAGTCGCCGTGATACCAATCTTCCGAACGGCGGCGTCTTTGGTAATGATGATCAGCCGCCTCCTCGCTCCTTCTTCCCCTGCTTTCCCCGCGGCCTCTTCCAGAATAGCTCTCCACTTTCCTCGGCTGCGTGGCGGCTCTTCCCCTGTCTTCTCTGGCAAACCCTAGAGCTTTATCGCCGTCGATTTTCCTCTTCTCCTCTAGAGACGATTCGCGCGGCTTGCCTCTCGCTTCTCCTACTGCTGATTCCTTTGCCGGCCGCTTCCCCAATTTGACCTCAACATTGATCCGTCCTCGGCCGACATCATCGTACTGATTGCAATTGCTATTGCTAACGATGATCTCCGCCGAGATTTGTTTCCCGTTCCGAGCCGCCGGCGCCTTCTTCTCCTTGGTGGAGAGATCAGGAAGAGTGGAAACCTCATCCTCCTCCTCCTCCTTCTTCTTCTTCTTCTCGGTCTCGTTCTGGTCGTTTTCGGGTGACCCAAGACCGAGCCTCTTCAGAATCTGGTCTCTTTGGCCTTCGAGATCTTCCGGCCAGCGGGAAGCGGCGATGGAGATGGCGGAATCGATGATTTCGAACAGGACATCTTTGGGTCTGAACAAGAGCCCGTAGCTCCCCATTGCGAAGGAAGGGAGCGCCATTGTGGAAACTTGCAGAGAACGGAAACAGAGAGAGAGGGAGGAGAGAGAGCAATGAATTAATGAAACCGTGGAAGTAATAAAGTAGATCGGCGGCAGTGAGTGAGTGAGTGAGTGAATTGGTTATGGAAGGTACAAGGTAGGAGTTTGTTTATATAGATTTAATAGTTTACAAGGCTAAGTAAGCGGTAGCCGAATCCTAGAAGGATTTGGGTTCTAGACAATTTGCCATAGCCTAATCCTTGTTGGAAAAGGATTCGCGCCCTCTTTGTTACCGTTGGGTTGCCGCCGACATTTGGGAGGAAAACAGAGGGGATTGGATTTAACTAACTCGGCCCAATTTGTCAGCTGTTGCTCCTAAAGGCCCAATCTTTAGCTCGGCCCAAATGAGCATATTGCAAGAACGAGTTGCATTGCATTGCAGCAGCCCAATTATTCCACAATTGTAGGACCGTCGGGAGGACTCTGCCTTCGTCGACGTTCGCCTCCAGATCAAGACGCCATCCCTACAACGACGCCGTTCGCTTGCCCGCCCTCGCCTCTCAGATTCTGAACTCCGAACTTCACCCTGGTTCCTCTGGGCCCAATACAAGGAAAGCCTTACCTGAATAACAATTGCCTTTCGTTACGGGGGCTTCGGATTTGTAATATTCTTCTTCCATTTCCCAATTTCAGTTCAACATCCAAGAGTAATACCCAAATAAGAGATCAAGCCCAACCTACAAAGATTTTAAAACGTAAACTTTATGGAAGTTCATTTAACAAAAACATAAGTAGGTAGTTTATAAGAGGTATGTGGGTGTGGTATTTGAGTTTTTTTTTTATATGAATTACTATTTGAGTTCATTTAACAAAAACGTGAATTCCACCCATCACCTAACACCGCCTTGTCGACTGTGCAGAACTAGCGGTGTAAGTTTGACCCTTAAAACCCACCGACCTGACCCGATCCTCAGGGTCGGGCTGGGTCAGTTTGTCTATATGGTCAATTTAGGGTCGGGTCGGCTTAGGGTCGGGTCAGGGTCAGATAGGGTTTGGTCAATTTAGGGTCGGGTCACTTTTTGACCCTATGACCCTTAGCATCATACAAACATGTTGGACCTATTTGTAAAATTTTATAATTTTAGGTACTAAATTGTAAAAATTAAAAAATTTGGGTACCAAAATGTAATTTTACCGTCAAATTTTAGGGACTTATTTGTAAAAAAATAAAATTTAGGTACTAAAATGTAAGAAAAAATAAATTCGGGTACCATATTGTAATTTTTAGAAAAGTAGTCTATTTATTAGGGTCGACCCACTGACCCGACCCTTCCTGACCCGCCTCGACCCTAAAGGGTCAGACAGGGTCATGAAAGAAACAGGGTCGGGGCGGGTCAGTTATACATCTTGACCCTTCAGGGGCGGGTCAGACAGGATCAGGGGCGGGTCGGGCCAATTTTCAGCCCTATGCAGAACACAACCACTACATGTTTGTCGCGAACGTCACACAGGATTTTCATCAGGCACCGATGGAATAAAAAAAAACAAAAGATGATTGTCGTATGTAGTGGGGGTTAATTGCACCATCTACCACTTAACTTAACTATTTGTTGCACGTTAACCACCTACGTAATTTACGTTGCAACTAAACCATTTACGTTACCTTCCTGTTGCAACTAAACCATTTCCGTCCACAAAACTAATGGTAGGTGCCGAACGGTAATTTTCCATGCCACGCGGGCTGCCACATCAACTCCTGCCACATCATTTCCATCGACTAAATATAGCATGTTTATTATTCTTCTATTCCCAAAACCTTCCCAAAAAAACCCTTCCAGACCCGTTTATTATTCTTCTTTTCCCCAAAACCTTCCCCCAAAAAACCCTTCCAAAATTGCAAACCACCCTAACTAGAGACGTAAATCTCTTCCTCTCTTCTTGTTCTAACTCCAATCCTCTTCTATTCTATTCTCTTCTCTACTCCAACGCGAAAGTTCGTCCTCCATTCTCCAATCTTCTTCTCTTCTGGATCAATCCAATCCAAATATATAACTTCACCTCCAAAATAACCATCTAACTCGAACAGAGACAGACAATCTGGATCAATCCAATCCAAATATATAACTTCACCTTCAAAATAACATATGTCTTCATGTATGTACACCATTTCTCTCTTATAATGAAGTTCGATTGTGAAATTATCATCTTTCAGTCCTAAACAAAAACAAAAACTATAAGTATATGTAACTAAATAACAGCAACAAATTGACAATTACAACAGCAAATTGCAGTTGGAAAATGGCAGGAGAAGAGCAAATTGTAGCTGGAAAATGGCAGGAGAAGAAAAACCCAGCAACCTTTAATTGCAAAACTCACCATATATCGAAATTTGGTTAGTTTCCCCTACTTCCCTAATGCTTGGACGCATTTTTAAAACTCAAACAACAAGAAAACACGAGCTTGGAGTGGTTTAATCAGCATTTTTCACCCATTCATCAGCCGACAATGAAGATGAAAAACATAGTCGAAAAACAGAGCAACAACCCGAGAGGTCAGAATTCACTCACCTATTGCTCCATCAATCGACAACGAAGAAGAAGAAGAAGAAGAAGAAGAACATAGCCAAAGAAAGCTTCGCCTGTCACCTGTCATTTTGATTCCCTGCCAATAAGAAGCAACGAACCAGAGGAAGAACCATATAATTACAATTGCGACAGCCTGCGTAAGATAACAAACAGAGTATTGCGGCAGAGGGTAGAGATAACTTACCGTAACAGCTTGAGCCAATCTTTCTTCCTTCTTGTGGCGATAGTCTCACCAAGTAAGAGCTTGATGTTTTTGTTGTTGTTATGTGCAGGGAAGGGCGTCGACGTTTCAGCTCCTGACTCCTGGAATGAACTTTGAAAGCTGTTGTAAACCTGCACCTATTGCTAATTGCAGGAATTGTTTGGGTTTTGTGAGCCCAAAAAAATGGTGGCCTACATGTGACTCACCCTGCATGAGCTGACATGGCAGCCCGCGTGGCATGAAAAATTACCGTTTGGCACCTGCCGTTAGTTCAGTGGACGGAAATGGTTTAGTTGCGACAGGAAGGTAACATAAATGGTTTAGTTGCAACGTAAATTACTTAGATGGTTAACGTGCAACAAATAGTTAAGTTAAGTGGTAGATGGTGCAATTAACCCTATGTAGTGGGGTGGAAGATTGGGTTTTTTAATTATTAATATATATTAATAATAAATTACTATAAGGTACTTGAAATTAAATTACAAATCAGTTATCAATTGATGCAATTATTATATTTTATGAATGTATTTTTAAATTATATACAAATTGGGTTAAAACTAGGCTAAATCTATCAGACTATTAATCCTTCATTCACTTACTTAATTGAGCCAACGGGTCAAACCAGGTTGATAACCTTGATTTTGTCACAAATAACATGTTTGGATGAAGAAAAAAAAGATATAATATTTGTTAGCTGTTATTTTTCAAACATCAGAAACATGTTATTTGACAAATTATAGGGGCTGGTATTTTCAAAATAAAATGTTTTTTGTTTCAATTATGTCATTGTTCTTTTTTTAATCCTAAACTATCCTCGCCCTTTTTTCTGTCCCACTTTTTGTCATTTTCCACCTTAATTATGTCTAAAGGCTCAACATGTCTTGAACAACATAGTTATACAAAAAATTGTTTCAATTTTTGTTTAATACTTGTATAATGTACATATACACGAGGAATTTTACAATGCTATAGGTTTTTTCATTTATGGTATAACTTGAAGTTGTACCTTTAACGTTATGTTACAATTTCAGATTGTACCTATACTCTTTTGACAAATTGTTTTATGGTACAAGTTAAACTTGTACTTTCATTTGATGGTACAAGTTTAAGTTATAAAGGTGTACCATAACATAAGAGCACAAATTCCTTTATGGTACAACGTGAACTTATACATTTAACATTATGGTACAACTTTAAGTTGTACATTAAAGCACCAATACTTTATAGCATAGTAGAAGTGCTCGTCTTTTCTCTCTGGGAGTTTCCCACTTTTAAAATTTTGTTCTCGTGTTATTGTTGAGTCGTCTAATCTTTATCATTTGTTTACTGTTTCTCGTATAAAATACATATAACACGTTTAACAAAATACACTTTTAATATTTTATAACTAATATGAATCTCTTAACCATACTATTATATTAAAATAATGCATAAAACTTCGTACATCTTATACCTTAAATGCATGTTGACTATGCAATGCACACACTCTGACAAAGCAAGAGAGAAATGAGGTTAAGTAGGATACATTGGTAAAATAACAAAATTGAGTACCTATACCACATTAACAATTCTAGTACTTATAAATAATTCATTCAGATATGATATTTGGTACAATAACTGGTATCAAATAACACATTTCACAATTACCACGGACAAAGAGGTTTCCTTCTCACGGAAATAGGAGTTGGTCTACTGGACCAGGTCTGCCAACAGGTGCAATAAATGGGCTTGCTTGTACAAGCTGACAGGAGGTGTAGAGAGCTAGAAGCCAGCGTTGGGCCGAATACACAAGGCCTGTTGGGTGAGAGCTGGCCATTTATGAAGTATGAATTCTCGAGTACAGTAGAGAGTTTGCGTTTGGCATAGTAGCATGTCTGTTTGCCCTTATTTTATCATGTTATGTGTAATACAATAAGTAAAGTTGGATATTATTGCATGTGGTATGTGTTCGACTTTTTGGCATGTGGTATAAGTATTGTTTTATGGTGTGTAGGACTATGATAGAAACCTATTATTTTAATCATTCTTATAATTCTACGATGGAAATATGCTATTTTTATAGGGGGATTGGGTGGCAGGATGATTATAGGTTATTATTAGGTTACCAGTTACCACACATATTTTGCCAGTTTCACTGGCCACCATGGTGGCTGCTAACCTCTTGACTCTTGAGCCATGGTTTGTTCACTCATCTTTTGAGTTTTAACCACTGCCTCGCAAGGCGGCCATTGATTGTGAGAATGATCCTCAAGCAGAAAGTTTTAGTTCTTTGTGAATAACACATTATCTATTTCAACAACATACTATTCATAATTGATCTCATGATGTCTTACGAATTGGCAATGTGACGTCTATGTAGTGATGACAATTTGAAACCGTCCTTATCTGATCCTTCGTAGCGTGAGGCAGGGCATAAATATCTACTTCTAACCCCCTTGTCTCGGCCCGTCCCGTTCTTGGCTCATTTTGCCTAAAACACTTACAATATCTATATATTTATCATATTTTGACCTTCTTTTTTTTTACTATTTTTCATTCATAATGTGTTTTTCCTTTCGTTTTATTGTAAAAAGTAAAATTTTGCGTGTATGTTTTCCAGATAACATGTAAGAGTGGATCGATCCGCCCCACCCCGTAGCCATGTGGGTATTACCCTCCCCGACCGCAATAGCGTAGGACGGGGCATGGATATTGATGTACCTAGGGATGACAATTTTGACCTGACCCGATTTACCCGACTTCTTTGGCCTATTTTGGGGCGGGTCAGACCCGCCCCGCCTACATGGGTATCTCTCATTGACCCGGCATGTTCTGACCCGCCCCATTCTCGACTCGTTCTTGCCTAAGTTACATATAATCTTAGTCAAATTACTTAGGATTCTCCTCTTATTACATTATATTTTAGCTATAATAAAGTTGTAATTAAGTGAAAACCTCAATTTCTTCAATAATTTAACTAGATTTTATCATATTATGGTTTCTTTCTTGGTCTTTTAATGAAAATAACTAATGTTTTTAATGTTTTTTTACATAAATTACATACCCATTGGGTCGACCTGCCCCGACCCGCGCCCCGTAATAAATTACCCGACCTGGACCCGATCTGCTATGAGGCTGGTATGAATATCGAGATACCCACCCCAGACCTGCCCATTACCCTTCCTAGATGTACCTGCCCGCCCTATCCACCCGCCACATTGAAGTAAAGATGAGTAATTGACTTACATTGAAGTCACCTCTCATTTCCCTCTTCCGCTTTACAACAAGGTAATAATTCTAAAAGTTTTTCTCATTAAGGACTATTGTAAGAGGAATATAACATATAATTTCTTTGTGAAATTATGCATTCAAAACTAGGGGTGAACAAACACACCCGCAAACCGATCCACCCGTCCAACCCGACCCAACCTACCCGTATTTATCGCTAAAACGAAGGTTTTGGGTTGGGTGAGGATTTTCTTTTGTACAACCCGCCTCTTTTGGGTTGGTTTTGGATTTTGGATTACACAACCCGTAGAACCCGACCCAACCAGAGTTCCAATTATTGGTATGAGTTTGTATCCAAAAAAATATGTATGTCATATATAGCCGTACTTATGAGAAAATTAAGATATTTCGCCATATTTTTCTCTTATGTTCCGCCTAATCTAATGCATTCTTCGGCTTAAAGTTTAGACATAAATTTAATATAGCTATGATTCACATAATTCTTTTTGTTGTGTACAATTTTAATAGAATAACATATTATGGATGCGTTCATATGTAACCTTTTTAGCTTATTTCAACAAATATCGTGAAAAAAATTATACATAAGTTGAAGTAAATCAAATTTTATTAAAATTCAAACAACATTTGTGAATTTTGATATCTTTCACCTCGGTTTATTCATTTGAATTTTTAATTAGTTATAAAATATTTTTATGGTGTAGAATAATTACATATTTTGTGTTGGGTTGGGTTTTTACTTAAAAATATCGCCAACCCGACCCAACCCAACTAGAAACAAACCGTAGGGTTTAAATTTTTTCGAGTGGATTTGGATTCAATATTTCCCAAACCGTACATGGATCGGGTGATTAAAATATCTAAAACCGGACCACCCGACCCATGTACACCCCTATTCGAAACTACTCATATGGACACTTGAACCTTTGGTATTAGTTCCACATCCACCGTACAAGATTTAAAATGTTCCAAAGGGGAAAATAAAAATAAAAAAAGAACATAAAACTCTACATAGACTCCGAGACTTCTAACCCAACGAGGCCAACCTCCATCCACTCTTATCTTACAGTTTCAGCTGTTAAACAACTTTTCCTGGGAACAGCATAATCAAACCATGAACCATTGTCTAAAGTCCAAACCACATACAACTTACAAGGATACAACGACGACAAATAATCATACCAATACTAACAATAACGCAGATACCAAAATATGCAGAGCAGAAGTGGAAGAACAAGTTACAACCTTACCTTCACCTTCTTCGTCTGCAAAAACCAGCGAGAAATTTTGAAAAAAAAGCAAACAACGCTTATGAATATATGATTATCTAAGCCCTAAGCAAGTAGAGACTGAGCTCAGGGCCACCAGAACCATCCTCAGGATTCATCATGTAGAACGCTTCCGAATCCTTCGAACCCACCACTCTTTCAAACCTCGCCCTCATGTACATCAGCTCCCCTTCCCCTCCGCCCTCTTCCTTTTCCACCTCCCCCGCCGTCGCCGTCGCCGGCAAAACTCCGGCGCCCATAGTGATCGGCGCCACCGCCTGCAGCACCTTCCATTCCTCCTCCCCACACTCCCTTCTCAACGCGTACCCGCACTTCTTCCCATTACAGTAACTCCTCCACACCCCTTCTTCCAGCAGCTTAATCCCTTGCTTCTTCTTCTTCTTCTCCGTCGAAGTCGGCGAGGACTTCTTCTCGCACTCCAGCGCAATCCTCACAAGCCCAGACGCCATCTCCCTCACCAGCACGCTCGTCGGCGTCGCCATCTCGATGAGAAACGCCGGCCTCTGCTTCGGGTCCTCCTGGAACGCGAAGTGGACGTGGCCACGCCGGTAGCCGAAAAGGGTCCCGACTACTTTGGTTCCCAGCCTCGAGCTCCGATCGCAATTTTTACTTCCTCCTCCCCTGCTGAAAACCGTGAGCGCCGACCGTAGCTTGCTGGAAAGATTGTGTTTTTTCTTCGGGAGTTGGGGGAGCTGTTGTGGGTCTTGAATTGAAGAGTGGAGATCGTCGTCGGAAGAGTAGTGGCGAGAGGAGGAGTGGTGGGTAGCTAGGATTTCCTCGTGGTCGGTGTTGTCTTCAAGGTGTTCGACGAATTGCCTCTTCCAGTTGAAGTAGCGCCTGGAGAAGGAGAAAGAGGTGTCGTGGCGGGTCTTCGCCGTCATGATCGTATTGCTCATGATGGGTAGGGGGAAATGGGGTAAAATATAAGACTAGGGGGGAGAAGGTGAGAAATTTGTGGGAAGCGGTTTGGTTTGAATTGGGAGAAGTGTGGGTTTGAAGCTGGAGAGGAACAGAGTGAGATATAAAAGAGAGGTTTTGGCAAGGATTCGTTTGTGCTTATTAGGTGAGGATTTGGAAGCTTATATTGGCGTGGATTGTGGCAATGTGATATCTTACTTTAACGAAAAAAAGATTGGTACAGTTAGAGCTTTCACTGTCTCGCTCTCTGCTTTTGTGGGTGTGAAGCAGAGGAAACAAAAAACAGGGGAGGTGGCCTGAGATTGGGAAATAGCGACGGGAGGAGAAGAGAGAAACCTGACAAAAGGAAGGTGAACAGCCCCACCTAATTCACAGGAAAGTAGAAGCAAATTTTCTGAAGAGGCAGATAGGGGAGTGGGGAAATGGAGACAAGGAAGAGGAGAACAGGGGAGTGGTGGCGAGGAAGTCAAAAGAAAGTCAGAGAATAGTGGAATCTATGGAGACAATTAGAAACAGGAGAACTTTTTTGCTTTTGTGGTTATTTTGCGTTCCAAGTGAGTAGTGGGTACTGTATGTTAGTCACTAAACCGGTTTCTGGGAAAATAAAGGGTGCTGATAAGATACTATTTTAAGTTAAAAGTCAAATGTATTGGTTGTAAAGAAGAATAATGGGTGTGAGGTCTCAAAATCTTTCTTGTAATTCATTCCCAAATAAGTACTGTGAATGCCGTTAAAAGCGGGATTCTACTTGGAAGCGGGAAATGGGTAAAATCGTAAAACGTAGAATCAAAGCGTAAAAGCGTAAGTTTTTTACGCACCCTCTAAAATAGCTAAATTATGTTAAGTACAACATATAGTATGTAAAACAATGTGTAGATTTTAGATAAGTGATTAACTACATGAAATTCATAATTAAAATTTAATATCTAACACATAAACTAATTTGTGTTGACTCAAAAGTAGAGAAAACTCATAACATCTTAATAATAAGCTCATAAACGTAGATCGTAACTCATAAACGAGCTTGAGAATCCAAATTCTCACAAACTGGTTTGAGTTTACATAATTACATACGATCAATTACCCATAAACTTTTATCGTAACCCAGGTAAGAGCCACATGTGAAGATTAAGGGAGAAGACTGATAGAAGGTCAGCGACTGTTGAGAATACCATTAGGTGTCTTTTCAACCTAATGTGAAACCCCTATCTCGACACTAGTTGTAGAACGAGTGATGAATCATGTTTCCTTTTTATCAATGTTGTCAGAACCGAATCGGAGCATGACCCGGTAATGCGAACGGCTCGCACTTTAGCGGTCCAATCGACATTAGATCGTTTAAAAACAGTTAGAGAACCGGTATCTAATAAACGTTATCAGTATAAATAGTTGACATTTCTTAATCAGAGCTCATATCTTTCCTTCAAAATTGTGAAATGGAAATAAGGATTCAATTTGAGAGCCCGACGTTTTTGGTTTATTTCAATTTTCTACAATTTTTTTAATTAAATTTAGTGGCTGAATGGCAAAAACCGGACGAGCGGCTCAATCGGCTCGAACGGTTAACCGCCTCGGCCTCTCGCCAACCGCTACATAAAACCGGAGCGGCTTTTAGACTGTTCCGAGCCGGTTTTGTGACCGGGTGGCGGTTTTACTGGTCGGGCCGAGCGGCTCGGTTCGGCTTTAATAACACTGCTTTTTATATTTTTTGCTGATATGTCTCCAAAATTACATCATTTTGGGTCAATTAGAACATTTTTATGAGATGATCAAAATCGTATAAAAACGCTTCAGAATCGCGATTTTACCGATTTTAAGCGATTTTACCGATTTTATCCATGTTTTTACCAGTTTTTGTGACTAAGCGACTTTAGCTAGAAACTTAAACGTTTTGGTGGTCTGGATACGTAAAAAAGTAAGTTTTTACGTTTTAATGTGTGATTTTGACTGCACTACTTGTGTCAATGGTTAAGGGCTAATACCACTGGGAAACCCGAACTATTGACTTTTTGTCATTTGTGTCCTAAAGTATTCGATATGACATTTGTGTCCTAAACTATTTTTCCGTTAGAGTTGACTAGTGTTGATTGTTAGTTTTTAACAGAAAGCCTAGTCAGCGTTGACGTGGCATGTGATGTGGAATTTTATTTTTTATTTTTATTATTTTTCCATAAAAAATGAATAAACTAACAAAAGCAAATTAAAAGAAAAATTAAAAAGCAAAAACTCAAATCCGCATATCTGCATCTCCGGGGGAAACAATGAAGAAGTTCAAAAAAAAAAAAATTCACTTTCCCGACGAACAGAGGTAGTAGAGAAGAAGGAGGGAGACTCAAGCTTCCCTCTCCTCCTCCACAACCGCAGGCCGTCTCTTCAACTCCCCCATGCCCAAAAACCTGGTTCATCTTCGGCAAGCTCCTCCACGTCGGATCCGCCCTGCTGCATCGATATCCCACCCCCAATTCTTCTTCTTCGCAACCACCCGCCGCCGCTACATCGATCGCCCACCCCCAATTCTTCTTCTTTCCAACCACCCGCCTTCGTTGGATCAATCTCCCACCCCCAATTCTTCTACGCAATCACCAGCCGCCGCTGCATCTATCTACCACCCCCAATTCTTCCTCGTAGAGAGCGGCGCCTCACTGGAGGAGATGGCGGCGACTGGGCTGCGTACTCTGATGATGGCGATGGTGGGCTTTAAGGGTTGGAGACGGAGACGGAGTAGGAAGCGAGGAGGCCGTGGTCCGTTGTAGGTCGTCGTCTCCGCTGCTTAGAAGACTTCATCGAAGTCGGCGCTAACTGTGCTACCTGGCGTTGTTTAGTGTCTTGATGATGGCCAGATCTGCCTTGTAGAGCCTGATTTCTGGACGGTGATGGATGGGAGGAGCTTGCGGTGCCTCACGGTGGCGGGAGATTGTCAGCGACTTGGTCTTAGCTGACATCAACGTAAGATTCCAAGCCTATTGAATTAGAAAATAGAAAACACAGGGGAAATTAGGGTTCCAATGTCTACCTCATCTGCTTCCTATTTGCCTAGGGTTTTTGATTGTCCTCTAATTTGTCGTCTGTGTGTTTCTAAGGAAGAGGCGAAGAAATATGTGAAGGAAGGAACCTTGCTACAAGGAGAAATACTAATTCAAACCAGATCGTGTCGGGGGCGTTTGGGTTCTTGGTGGGGAGATGGGCAACGATGTCTGCGGGGGAAAGGCAACCCCCAGGGACGGGTTGATTGTTCGATTGATTGTTTGACAGCGGCGAAGAGAGCATTCAGCGGCGGCGGGGATTTATGGGCTACAGCAGCGAAGAATTTTTTGTTGCTTTGGTTATTTTTTGCTTTTTCAATTTTAGTATTTATTTAATTGTTCGGATTGATTGCTTGGGTGAGTTCATATATATTTTTTTTAGTTTTTCAATTTTAGTATTTATTTAATTTTGAATTAAAAATATGAGGTGTCAATGACATCGCATCTACGTGGCTGCCACGTGTTTGCCACGTCAGCAAAAGTCAACATCAAGTTGACCACCGTCTGGTCAACCGTTATATATAACGGTCAACAAAATCGTTAGGACATAAATGACACAAAACTATAATAGGTTGGGACACAAATGTCATATCAAATACTTTAGGACAGAAATGACACAAAGTTAATAGTTCGGGTTTCCTAGTGGTATTAGCCCCAATGGTTAATTATGGTTTACTCATTTTTTTAGGCGAAAAAATGCCAAGCAAGAGAGGTTACAGGGAGATTAGGAGGGAAAGGGTGAGGATAGCGTGGCGGGAACAATCCACCGCTCAAAACAAACCCTTATAATGTTGAAGAATGGGAACTAGCCCTGGTGGCGGATTTGCAAGCTCATGCATACCGTAGGGATAGACGAGACTGCGATTCGAGAGCCAGTACGCAACTCTATTCTCTTCCCGGTATGTATGAGAGATGTTCACCAGCCAGTCAAGGCTTAGTTTCCTCCGAATGGCCGAAAGAAGAGGAGAGTAGGGGTGGACAGGATCGTGTCTCTTCTCCAGAAGATGGATGGCGAGTTGAGAGTCCGACTTCACAATGACAGCTCGACAGCCCTCCTTCCAAGCTAACTCGAGCCCATAAAAAATTGCCCATAGCTCAGCGAGAGCCGCAGTCGGCGACTCAATACTGGCGGTGAAGCCGGTGATCCATTTCCCCGTCGTGTCTCGAAGAAGTCCCCCAGCTCCGGCTGGTCCTAGGTTCCCACACGAGGCTCCATCAATGCTCAGAGCTATCCATCCTTCTGGGGGATGTTTCCAGCCAATGGTTTAATCATACATGTCGATAAATTGTATTGAGTATTTGAGTAGTGTTTTATTAATTAATTAAATATATTATCAACTTAACATCTGACATTAAAAGACTTGTATACCATACTTAATCAATATGGGGTCGAGTTGTTGTCTACATTTGAATATTGTATTATTATTCGAGATGTAATGCGTTGAGTTGGGCTCGCCCTGATTTTTACTAATCGCCCTACTTTGAAAATGAAAAAGTACGTTTTTATCCTTTTCCTCGATTCATCGCCCTTCTAATTTTCCAGCCTTCCTTAACCTCATATGATTTTTTCCCGGCCAGGAGACGCGTCGTCGCCTCACCTTTATCACAGCACGAGACCGGAGGAGTACCCGCCTCAGCGCCGCGCCCTAGATACCTTCTTTAGCACCCGTCACCGTTTCCACCTCAGGGTTAGCACCGGTACAATGGCCGCCGGATGGATTAAAGTAACCATAATGTTGCAGCCAAAGGATGCATTAAATTATAAGAAATTTTGGAAGGTAGTAGTCCCTGTTTTTGTCTCCAAAAGTCACACCGAATATTGATTGCAATGCTCTCCAAAAATCCCCTGTTTCCCATTGATCCCCCTTGTGTGGCCGTCTATGTGTGGGTATTGGGTAGAATTGAAACTCGTCTCGAACGACGACGAGACTCTATGTGGTGGAGTGGTGGCTATGAAGGAAATGGCAGAGTAAAGGCGCCCGCGTCTTTGAGATTTCGAGCAAAGCCGGCGAAGGGTTTTGGGTGAGTCGGTAAGCGATGTTGGTGGAGGATTATAAATTTTAGGGCTATGTTTGTTCTGTTGAATTTTGATGGATTAATAAAGGACAATTACGTAATATTAC